AGCAATGTGAATTTGGCTTCACGCATGTTTTTAGATCTCCCCCGTCCATTTTTGTGAGCTTCATACTAGTCTCTCACCTTTAAGCAGTTCTGTTGGGCGTTGGAAGTACAAAGCGAGGATAGGGCGTGGTAGAGAAGGAGAGGGTGGTCACACTGTCCATGCTCAAGGGATTCACCCCTTTTAGCACAATGTTTAACCTGAATTTCATTCTCTAGCCTATAGGACAGTTATTTAACGTTTATTAAGTGATGACGAACTCTTGGGTAATGCGTACTCAGGACTTTGTAATTTTCACATTAAAAAGTCCGCTTTAGTCGTAATTTCTTTGATATGACCATATTCCTAGTCATCTTTTTGAATTATCGTGTGCGTAAATCATCGATCGATTTCTTTTAGGACCCAATGAGCCTTAAGAACGCGTTGCGCGAGGTGTCACTATCTTTGGTTGAAGAGGAAATAAATTCCGAAAAAGCAAAAGATTCAGAGAAAGGTATTTTGCGCTTTCGCAAGACACTTCAGGGTTCAGGTGATGTGCGCAAATATGGTCAAGTTAAATTTCAAAGGAATCAACGTCGTAAACGAATTTCAAAGAATAGGTCTTGGAAACAATTCGCCTCCAGCACTGGTAGATACTCATTTTCCATCATTTTGATTTTCATGCACAGGGCTACGTTCTTTGGTGCCTGAATTGTTGCTAACTGTTAAGTTCATAATTTTTTAGAGTTTTACATCTGTACATGGTAGGGTGATTCATTGCACATTCACCTGTGCTTTTTCATTGGCGTTTCTGACTTTTTTGGGAAGTCGCAACGGACCAATTCATACATTGATGCTTTGATCGCTTCATCTTAATGGCTTTAGGTTTAAGAGCTCCACCGAGGAAGAAGTCTAAAGATGCTATCATGGGGACCGTCAGACCCCGTGAGGACCTAGTGAACCTGGGTAAATCGATACTGCGCTCGCGGCGAAAGCTTCTGGATCCTGGACCTCCGCCACAAGTTAAGAGAAAGCGCAAGAGTCTCTTCCAAGAGAAGGATTTCAGGAAACTCGGTCAGGACTTGCGTACTTTATTTTGTTCATAGCTTCACTAAGTTATAAATACTGTACAGCTACCCACCCATGTTTACAAACAATTTGGTTCTGATTTAAACAAGACTAACTTATTAATGCACAACCATTGCCATCTGACTTGCTTGAAGTTAGGTAAAACAGCCCACGATGAATATTTAATCTGCATTTCGGTGATCGCAATACAAAAAGTGATCGGCTGAGCAAACTAGCAAGTGGTTTGAACTGCTCTTTCTCAGAGGTACGCTGTTTCAATTATGATAAAATTGACATCAAGTGCATGCATAGAATTGGATGGTGATCACACACACATCGTAAGCTTGTCAACGAAGTTGGGAAGGGTAGACTTGTGGCCGATCGCACCGGATGTGAAGACTCGTCAGCAACCCTTCGAGCACTCTCTGGTTCTTATCGCCCTGACTTGCGTAAAAGTTAAGTGAATAAGTGTCCACTTCGTGTTAATGTGAGTTCGTTAGAAATTATAATCGAAGGGGAGTATTGTATGATGTTTGGCATTGATTAGTGCGTAGATCTATCCTCGTGCCTGGTTGGTTGCGATGTGCTGGAGATGTGGCGTAAAAGTTGCAACACTGGTGAAGAAACTGCATGTGGCACAAGATTAACACGGTAGATGCGTTGAAATACTACAGGTGAGGCCTAGTTTTCTGATTTGTCAGGTGGTTTTTAACTCTCAGATCATGTGACTTGGAAGTGAGGGAGCGAGGTTTGCAGCCGCAGACCTCGAAATAGGCTCTTAAGTCAGAGATCATGGCATCGCGTTCCATTACGATATTCTTGGTGCAGTCATAGAGCCTGCGCAGCTTGCTTTCCAGTTTGTGTTTGGCCATTTGGAGGTCATTAATGCGGGAGTCTCTTGCTACAAGAGCGGATGCTAGGCAATTCGGTGACTTGTCTAAGTTAGCCAACAGCTCAGAAAGCCGACTCAATTCTGTTTTCGTTGCCTAAAATATTAAACATTAGGGGACAAACAATGAGTCTCAAATTATAATAAATCAAATCAAATGAACCTGATGCAACTGATTCTGCTATGGCGTGTTGAGTTAAATCAAGTTATATAAAATAGTGGCTCAGCTTATATATTTTATACCTTCAAAATCTCGTCTATGCTATGCTGTTTTGATATTTGTGAACCTAGAATTCTGTGCCGAAGTTGAGCACTTTTCGTACGAGTACTTATGTGCTCATCAAAAGGAAGTGTCCACAGCCCTTATAAACTACCATTACCCTAGTAAATTGTATCAAAATGAAAAGCGATGATAGAACATGATGTTTAAGTTGAAAGATATGCTTTACCAGAGT